TTATACAGACAAAACCCTTGGTTACCCCGAAGAGGTCACCAAAACGTAGCTAGTTGAGGGAGGTGACTGTATCTACATAGGGCTCATGTAGAGCCCTGTAGTACCTCTCGTGGAGCTCCTTCTCCTTCCATACGGTCTCCTGGTCGGAAATGCTATGCACTGCTGTGTCCTGCTATTGCTCGTTGGCTAAGGATGGAGGGGTAAACCCTTTAACACTAGAAATGACGTCCCTTTAGAATGGATCATCCAACCTCGCCAGGAAGTAATGACAGAGGCTGCACACTTTGCAATTATGCATGGTGAGCGCACTCAGGAAGCCACGCCCACCATGTTTTTGCGGCGATTTCGGATGATGCATCCTATGGGACGTCATTGTAGTGCGGACTTTTCTATCCAGGGCGTTAAATTCAGCCTGACTCCACCTGAGAATGCCAAAGGTATACATGAGAACAGGCATGACCCAGCCGTTATATGCGTGTGTCTTATTCACATCGGAGAAAAGGCTGTTAAGCACTTTGTTTAAGCGTGCATAAAGCACGTCGCAAACTGACTGTTTCTTATCAGCCTCATCAATACCGATTTTCTGTGACATACCCGGGTATCGGTATGTTTCAGCCTCGGAAAGGGGCCTTAAGTAGACGGGCATAGATAAGTCTATGCCCTCAGAGGTAGCAACCCTTCCCCTTTCAACATGTAGTACCGTACACTTATCTGTCCCCAGCTCCATTCCAATAGAATTGCTAAATTCACAAGTGATGTTTAGCAATTCCATAATATGGGAGTGACTGGAGGCGAATAATTTGAGGTCATCCATATAGAAAAGGTGGGTCACTTTTGTACCTCCTTTCCAAAGCTGAAATCGCCGGATCCGGAGCCCTCCAGTAAAGTACTGAGAGTGTTCAAAGAGAGGCAGAACCGGATTGGACTCTGACAGTTGCCCTTTAATATACCCCTTCTTATCCTTATGCGGCTTTCCGCAGTCGTCATCCTCTCACCGAGATGACAAAGGAACGTACTCCACTACCGCACACACTGCTCGAGGAAGTCTTGAACTGTACAGTCAATCTTTTAGGGCTCGAGGACACCCTTTATCCATGTATGGGGCACCGAGTCAAATGCCTTTCTGTAATCTATCCAGGTGGCGGAGAAGTTCCGACGGTTGTGTTTCACCACTTTGCCAATGACCGCGTCAATAAGAAGTGGTTCCTTGGTTCCACGACCGCCGCCCCGACAGCCATTTTGAGCGTGCGACATCACCTGATTTGAGTCCAGGTGACGAGTGATTGTCACGCTCAAAATGGATTATTACATACATAAACACTCACGCCTGTCACCTAGAGGGGTAGGCAGAGACTACAGACTTCCATTTGCCACGATCCTGACACACTTCTTTTGCCTCCTTCACATCCATATACCTACGCATAGATGCTCGTCGGTTGAAGGTACTCCTAATTTGGCCCGTCTTTAATAAATTGCTAATTTGGTTGATAAATTTTCGCCCAGGGCGTCCCTTTTCGACCTTGTCATTTACTTCTGCAACATAAATTTTCTTTGTCACTCTTTCTTTATTCATTCTTTCCACGTGACCAAACCACCGAAGCATTCCTTTCTTAATACTGGTTACAATATCATCTTGCAAACCACACTCTTCTCTTATCACACAATTTCTCACCCTGTCATTCAGATTCAGCCTTAACATACTCCTTCACGACCGTATTTCTACTGCATTTACTCTAATCTCGTGCTTCTTCTACCACACCCAATTTTTACTACCATCTGTTAAAGTAGGGACCAACATAGCATTGTGAATTGCCATACGTGCATTTATTGACATATTTTGACTCTTCACAATAGACTGTAGGGCCCATTTACTCTATTTCCTGGATTATTACTTTTATTATTATTATTTCCTTTTTTATTATTTTTAATTATTTTGTCATTAGAGTAGTAAGCTTTGATTATTATTATTTTTATATTTTTTGTAATTATTTGTACTTGTATTTTAGCTGATGGTGCTTAATAATATATAAGAGCTTTAAGAGCGTGTACTAGCCGACAAACTGATTGCAGTTTGGCGAGAGAATTGTAATAATAAAGTACGTATGTTTGTATGAATAAATAAATAAAAAATGAATTTTAATGTTCACCTTCAAACCTTCTTTACATTACTTTCACTTTACCTTTTTTACGTTATTGTCTTATTTTAAACTAGAATTTTAACCATATTGAAAAAAATGAAATAAGATTACCTTATAACACTTAAAATGTACAATTAAATTTTTATAGAGCTGACTATGATAGTATTTGTAAAGAATTAGCGAGTTGTGATTGGGTCAAGCTACTTGATGGGTTGACAGATGTAAATAATATGCTACAAATTTTCTACCAGAAAATTCGGGATATTATCAAAAAATTTGTCCCCGAAAAATCGTCAAAGAACAACAACTACCCACCTTGGTTTGATCGGAATCTAATTAGAACTCTAAAAGAAAGGTATAAAGTTAGATGTCGTCACAAGAAATATAAAAATCCTAGAGATGAGCTTGAACTGCAATTGCTAAGTAAAAGATGTACGAAAATGGCCACAAATTGCTACAACAAATATATAAAACTAATAGAGTGTGACATAGCAAAAAACCCAAAACTGTTTTCGTCCTTTGTCAAGGCGAAACGTGGTGGTTCAGGCGCCTATCCCCTATCAATGACTGACGATACGACGGTAACTTCTGATGGAGTGGAAACTTGCGAACTTTTTTCTTCACACTTTTCATCCGTGTACTCTGAAAATACTAAATGTACAGAGCAGGATTATGTTTATGACCATTCAGAGTCCTTGAAATTAATTGAAATTAATAGCCTTCACCTAGCACAGCTGAAAATTGATCATAATACTCTATTAAATAAATTAAAAAGCATTAAATGTAATAAAGGAGCAGGTCCTGATGGAATCCCTCCAGTGTTTGTAGTCAGATGTGCTGATCACCTTGTTAATCCACTGTTAATTATATTCAATTTTTCTCTTTGTACTGGGCAGTTTCCTACACTATGGAAAATAGCTAAAATCGTTCCGGTTCATAAAATGGGCAGTGTGGATTATGTAAGAAATTACAGGCCGATCTCTATATTATCAGTCTTTGCTAAATTATTGGAGTCAATTATTTGTCCTTATATTCAGAGACATATCAATCTTTACTTAACCACTAGCCAACATGGGTTCGTTAAATCTAGGTCTACGAGCACTAATTTGGTACATATTACGGAAATACTAATTGAAGCACTTGATGCGGGGAAACAAGTCGACGTAATATATACTGATCTTAGCAAAGCATTTGATCGGGTCCCACATGATATATTGGTTCGTAAGTTAGCTGCCTACGGCATTACTGGTATTATGTTAAAATGGCTAAAATCGTATTTAAAGGACCGAGCGTTTTTTGTGGTGGTGAATGGATATCAGTCAGGCTTAAAAAATATTAATTCTGGTGTGTCCCAAGGGTCTCACCTTGGACCGATTTTGTTTGGGGTGTTCGTAAACGAAATTCCAGAATTGATGAAATGGTCTCGTGTGTACTTGTATGCGGATGACTTAAAAATTTGCAAGACGATTGTGGAAGAGAACGATTCAATAAACCTACAGAACGATTTTGATCAACTGATTAAATGGTGCAAAGTAAATCGTATGGACTTAAACATTAGTAAATGTTTCTATGTGCAATATGCGAGAAAAAGTAACACTATCGACTATAGCTATCACATTGGATGTAATAAAATACAGCAGTTAGACGAAATTAGAGACCTCGGGGTCATATTTGATAAAAAATTAACTTTCGTACCGCACATTGAAAACATTACTACAGTAGGCGCGCGAGTTCATGTCCATCCTGAGGAATGCGGTAGTGCTGTGACCTAATCAATTATGGTAATGTCGATAATTACTACCGATTTAGTCAACAGCTGTCAATTTGGTTTATTGTAACTTAAGGTGATTTTGCAAATTATGAAATAAAATAAATGTGATAAGTACTTACTTGTTTATTGCTAATAGAGAAAAATATTTTTTTAAAATGCAATTTAATCACTATCAGATGCAAAAACAACCGACAGAGCAGAGTCGGAATCAGTATCTTCGCCGTCGCTGACTTCAATTACGAATTTGTCGATCGTATTTTCCATTAGTCCGTCTTTTTGCCAGTAATGCTCTTCCAAAATTATAACGTGATCATCGAATCCACACCAATCTTTTTCTGTCACCTGGTTTATAGCCATCTCCGTTACTTCTTTCAATCTTGTTAGGGATAAATCTGAGTTAACGTTGTACTCCCTCACAACTCTCTTGACTTTTGCCCATGCTAACTCAATTGGGTTTAAGTCGCACATGTACGGTGGCAATCTTAAAACCTCATGTCCGTGACTACGGATGAGCTGGTCTATTTTAAAACTTTTCTCTTGGGGCGCATGCAATTTTATCAAATCAAAAAGCTCGCCTTTTCTCATGCTTACTGAAGCCTCTACATTGTTTCTAATAAGCCATTCTAACATAACCGTTTTAGTGCTTGATTTTGTAGGAACTTTATTTTCCTGAACACTGTGATATGGTGCGTTGTCCATAACGACAACGCTGGATGGTGGCAAATTGGGAATGAACATGTCAGTCGCCCATTTCTCAAAGTTCGTACTGTTCATTTGCCCGTGGTAATCGCCTGTAGCAGTACCAGCTTTGAAAAGCAATTTTGCGCTATCCAAAAAACCACGTCTGGATCCGGCGTGAACGAGAATCAGCCTTTTCGTTGAGCTGGTGTCAGTCAGTATCGCGTCTATATAATCGTTTCTCCAACACTTTTTAAATGTGAGGTTATTGTCGATCCAAGTTTCGTCTAAAAAGAAAATATCGCGATTGTTTTCTCTGTATTGACGAATTTTTTTGCAAATAATTTGACCGCGCAAATACAACAGCTGGTCTTTCTACCAAAATCCTTCGCTTGTTGTGACATTTTTGCCATTTATAGCCCATTTTCTTTAGAAGTTTTCGTAAACTTGTAGTCCCCCCAGGGAAAATTTATTTTTTCCCGGATTGCCGCCAGAAGTTTAGGACAAGTGGGAACGATATTTTTTGTCAAATAAAATTCTTCTATACATCTGTGTATTACACTTCTATCGAAATCATCTACATTTAAATTCCCCATTTTATTACACGATTTCCCTTTTTTAGAAGGCGAATGAAGAGGTCCATTTTTTGCTTCTGTTTGAATTCTAGACAATGTTCTTTTAGTAAGTCCAGTGTAACGGGCCGCTCGATCTAAAGCATTGTTAACGGGAAAAGCGAATTTATTCTCTTTTTTCTCTTCAACACACATCTGTAGGACATTTCTCGCCATTTCACGTGCTTGCTTATGTATTATAAAAGGTTTTTTCCTACCCGAACTTGCTGGAAGCGAAGTAGTCATGGTTTATTCACGATAAAATAACACAATCTCGACTAATTTTCTGTATCGATAAGCGCGCGTCACAACCGTCAAGGACAACACTCGACTGCAGACAAATGCGGCGAGGTGGTTGAAAGCGGGGCGAGCTGCCCCCGCGCGCCGCCTCTGTCCCCGATGGACATGAACTCGCGCGCGTACTGTAAACGTGCATCTAGAATGTTGGGTTTTGTCATAAGATATATCAAAGTCTTTCGAAATGCTAAAATTAAAATTCTTTTATTTAACAGTTTGGTAAGAAGTATATTAGAGTACTGTGCTGTAGTCTGGAGACCTCATTACGCTACACATTCACTGAGAATCGAGCGGATCCAAAAAAGATTTATAAGACATTTGTCATACGCAAGCGGATTTAGGAGTAATAAGAAGCGTGTATCATATGAAAATAATTTGATCAATTTCAAAATGATTTCTCTTGAAAACCGCAGGGATATTATTGATTTGATTTTTGCTTCTAAAATTATTAGTGGTGTTATTGACTGTCCTGAAATTTTAAGTAAATTTAATATATGCGTTCCCTTTCGTTACCCGCGTTACGCTCGTAAGATTACACCATTGACTAGACCATATAGAAGAACAGTGTTTGGCTCCAATTCCCCAATTGCTAGATTGAGTAAACTTGTTAACACATTAAGAGATAAAATTGATATATTTTTCGACCCACCTAACAAGCTCCGTCGCACCTTAAGAGACCATCTTTTGTAACATATTATAAAATATGTTCTTTCCTTTTCGCTTCTATATATTTTTATTTGTATTTAGTTATAATTTCTTTTAATTTTTAATTATTTCTTTATCCTAGTAATATAGGTACACAGTCCTGAGAAAGTTATTTGCATGTTGTATCCGCCTGTAATTATTTGTACATTTTAGTTCTTATTGCTTCATTGTATTTATATAGCATGTAAGGAATGATACAAATGTTGGTGGATCAATAAAAAAAAAACATGACGTAGATGCGGAGTGATTCTAATCTGCAAACTATTCTAATCAAACATTATATCAGAATATACTATTATTAACACACTATACACAGTGCAATCTAACCATTGCGTTCATCCGATTTGATGAAACGAACGAGTTTGCTCGACTTTATCAAATAATGGCCTCGCTTCAAATAGCTAACTGAGTAGCTCAAATTACCTCAGAAAAATAATCCTTTGGCCAATTTAGGCAATTTTAACGATATTCAACGTAACGAAGTAAACTGTTAACGAAGTATAGTGTTTCCACCGTTAAATGTATATTAAATAATAATATATAATATAAAATAATAATATATTAAATAATAATATAAATAAATTAAATATTGTGAATAATCACTTATATTGTCTAATCGAATAAGAAACTCAAGATCTATAAACAGTCGGTGCATTTTGAGAAATATTGATTAAATTAACATTGAAGTAAAATTTAAAAATAACTGATTATTGGCTAGTATTATATTTATTTAAAGAAATGATGTAGTTTATGTATAGAAATGATTCAACAAAATCTTTACTTTTGATTTAAGCGTCATACAATCAACGATTAAATAGTTAATTATATACAATAATAATATAATGTAATTATAAGTACAGTATTATCGACAACCCAAAAAATCTTGACCCGTCAGACGCTCGGAATCTATCGTGTCTAAAGCTATAGCAAACCAAATTTATTCGGTATTGAGTAACGGGTGCGCCATCTACTATCTAGTAACGAAAGGTTACACATGAATGCATTTCTTTACTCGCATTTTTAATAGTATGGGTACCTACACTGTTTCAGTTCATGCAAGTACCGTTGATGCGTACATTTGCTCAACGACTACACAGCCCGAATAGACGCCTAATGTATGTGCTTCTGCATCCAAACCTGTCTGTCAAAAGTCTGACGTAAGCGTTACGGGGAAGGCTGGTTGAAATGCACGCTAATTGGTTAAAATCAAGGTTGCGACACTTGCTAATAAGCAAATAGTGATGAGAACTTTAACTAATAAATTTGGTACCAAGTCTACTTAATCAGTACCAGAATTATACCCTACTATAAATTAGTACAAGTTAAAAAAAAAAAACAAAAGAAATTTTATTTAAGTAGGTATAATATTTAGTAAAATACCTATATTTTTGTTTTAAAGAATATTTTTTCAATAAAACAAGCTTTCTTTACAATATTGAAATAATAATAGAATAATATTAAAATAAAATAGCAACAGTTATTTAAATTGTCAGGTTCACTTCTGTTTCCTACTAGTCTTGACATGGCGTCTTAGCAGTAAAGAGAGCAGAGTGCCGTCTATTAAAAATTATATCAATTTTATTATAAATTTTTTTAAGAAGTTTTGAATAATTTTATTAAATTATTAAAATCAATTAATTCAAATATGGATTAACGTACATTCACTAAAAATTCAGCTTACACCTGTCGCTTATAGTATAAGTCTGTAAAACATTCACGATAACATGCGTAACATTTACTTGTACCAATATTATAGTTTAACTGGTACAGCACTAGTTACACGTGCCGGTAATTAAAGAAAAGTATAGCAATAATGAACTGCATCGAAAAGAAATGTAGTATATGCATCCATAGGATGCATAGTCCGAAAATATCGGAAGATATCCGAATAAATCAACGCGAGTTGCTTGTGACAAATATAAACATACATCTTACCTGTGTTAGGATTTGCCTTTCTAATTTTCTCTTTGCTTCATTATGCTATATTACACTTCTCATGTCTGCGTGTTTATATTCAAGAAACGATTCTCTGCGTTATGATTCTTTGTAACAAATACAAATACGTGTTAAAACTGTTTAGCTAACGGTAAGCTAAACACTCGTTGATGAAAACTTACCCTTAAACTGAGTTAACTTTATATACATGGATTTTATTCTAACTCCCCAAAAGTTACTTAAGAGCAGTTTCACACGCATTTTAATTAATTTAAATTTATTCTATTAGTTCACCCTTATTAAATTAAATGGGATCTTTCGACAAAATGGAACGTTTTTTGAACAGGGGTGTTATAACGTGAGTGAGAGTGTTGGCGTGTACATGTACATACAATATTCTTTTTGCTACCCGCATAGCCGTAGTAAAACGCTTACGCGACCCGCTACCGAGAATTACATATTTATTTATGTATTTGTTGATTCTTTATTGTACGCTAAAATACGGAATAACGAATTGAAATAAATCTAAAATATAATATGTACAACTGGCGATCTTAGCACTCTGAAAGTTACTTTAACTTGCAACTGTTGTGTAGAAGTTAAAGTCTTCTACACAACATTTGCGTAGAGAACTGATGCAAACAATAGTTGAAATAGAGTGGAGTAAATAAAGATTAGTGAAAACGATATATAATGTGATTTAATAGAAAAAATGAAAAGAATACGAAAAAGGAAAATTAATTTATCTAATAGCGTTCTAAGTAATACAATTTAACAAGACTTTTGAAAGAATGAAGAAACAACATATATTCGTAGTAAAAGAGCTGATTCGCATATGAAGCAAGTATTTCTTTTGTAACGTGGTAGAACTGGGTTGAATGGTAGGAGGGTAGCAGGCTATTACGTCTGCATTCATTGTTAGATTACTTAATGTAAAACAGTAGTACAATGCTGCTGTGTTTCGTACTATTGTAAAATGACGAGAACCGTAACTAAAGTCCTATTTCACTGGTAACGAGGCATTCTATCTTAACCCTCAGGGGTGGGGAGTAATTTCATTATTTTGAGGATAGATGCAGGTATCCGTTTTTTTATTCAGTTCAACTTCTATTAGTGACCTCCTATAAATAATTGATTAGTCTGGATGTTTGTCTATGTCCGTTGTATAATTTATGAGTGTACATGCCTCCCCAATACGGAGGAAATCCCAAGAAGTTTAAAAAAATGAACATTATCACACATAATAGTTACAAAAAAATTTTATGAAGATGTTTTTGTAGAATCTTATAATCATCTATTACCTAGTAAGGCTTCATAGGAGGGCTACAAATCGTGTCGACTTTCTGTGGAAGGAAAGGCCATTTTGAGAAATTCTACATGAAAAATAAAATATTTTGGGCAGATGAAATTCGGTAACACGCACTTTAGCTGAACTTTCGGAAATAAAAAAGCCCAGCGGCAGGTCGTATTAGAATGTTTTTAAATTTAACATAAATATGTAAATCTATGCTAATTTCGAAACCAAAAACTAAAGTTAGTACTTGAACTTGCTGATTTTATTTTTAATCTTAATTTAACCCTTTTGGAACAAATATGTTCTTGTGACATTAAAAAAAATTCGCAATTCTGTTTTGGCATATGTTTAGTAAGAATTCTAATTCGCAGACCGGCATGAGATCTACTCTTTTGTCGTTACTGTAACACAAAGGCTTATATCGGGGTTGTTATGTTTGAACAATTTAATGTGTTTATACGTTCTTGTATTTAAAATTTGTTAAAAACATCAACACAAAATAAAAATTCAAAAATCAAAATGGCAATTGAGATACTGACTATAATAAAAATAAAACATCGAGAACAAAAGCCGTAGACCAAAATAAATATACCGAGAACTTTGCCTTACCAAAATCTAATAATAGTTGTAGGCTTTCACACACTATGTCAAGCTTTTACTAATATAATTAAAATATCCGACAATTTGGCTTTGTTGTTCCCTTTTCAAGGCTTCGAAAAGCCTCAAGGGTGACTTAGTTGGAACGGAACATAATTTAAGTAGAAGTAGGGCGGTGTCTAAAATAAATTATACTATTTAATTCCACTCAAATCACCAATGCATGTGAGTTACCACGGCTCATATATGATGTTTCGCAACCAAATAGAAATAAATAGCTAATTCACTAGTTATTTGCTTTAATCAAAACAATTTTTTCTTAACTTATATAAGGTTTAATTTTTAAATCATCATCATGTTTATCCAATATTTGTAACATTATATTATACGTTTACAATTTGTAAGTAAATTAGTAACA